AGAAGGTCACGCCTCGTTTCCACGGGTGACGGGTGCACAGACATTGAAGGACTCGGTGCGGGATCCGACCTTGTCCTTGATGGTGCTCGCGATGTTCCATTACTGTCTGATTTTGATGATGTTTTTGCCGTAGGCTTCTGGGGAGGTTGCACGCGGGAGGCCATTACGGATGTCGGAATCATAGGTCGTGACTTGATCAAAGAGCTCTTTCAAAAAAATACAGGTGGTCAGAAAAATGACCACGCACCTGTCCCCCCTGTGGTCCCCCCGACTGATCTACAAAACGAATTGCAGGGTAATACGGTTGCCCCGACGCTCCCCCGTATGGTTGTACCTGTGGTCCTGTTGAAATAGGATATCCCCCCGGCTGATTTATCCGATTCGCGGTTTCATTTTCAGAGCGCGAGGAGGGTCTTGTTCCTGTGGAACTCGATGGTGCTGGTTCATCCCCCAGTGGCCGTGAATTGGTCCTTTTTGGTGTCACTGGAGTACTGCTACTATTTCCTTTCAGATCGAGAATCCCCAGACCCGGACCAGTATCCCTCCTCTGCTGCATGAACAAATAGAAGAGAAGCAGACAGAGATTATTTCCTCCACAGAATCACGAACACGTAGACCTGAAAAGGGCGTCGATTGGGCGTAGGAAGAAGTTGGGAGTAAAATTCGGCCCTTATATACCGGTTTATTTAATCATTTCCCACGGTCCCTTTTCTACTGATGCCGATCGCGCGCTTAAAACGGCCACTGCCCTAAAATCAGCACATACTGCATGGAGGACTGCACTGCCTTGACAGCTGGCTTCTCTGTCCTTTCTAGGCTCTTCAGCGCTCAATCTTTGTGGGAAACACCTGTTGCTGTTACTATTGCTGTCTTTCTTGAGCCTCTCTATGTCCTCCCGGCAAGAAATCTGATCGTTCGATTGCATCGTGACTGGTCTCGCGATCGAAAAATGGTCCACTTGCAGCAATATCTGTGATCCCGGCATTGAACACTGCTCCCTCTGTATTCTATGGATCATTTTCCGGCGTGTTGAGGGTCCGCAAGCATATCACACTCCACGCTATTTCCACTTTCACATATCCCAGAATGGTATGTCTTTAAATATCGTTCCACCTCATGGTGTCCACGCTCCCACGACCGCGCGTGTTTCGCGGTGATCATCGGTGATGGGGACATTAAACCAGCGAGTGGGAACTAGCAATCTCGACGCCTTGACGGATCTTCCGCGATCACAATGTAATTATTCCTTAAAGCAGTTCTGTGGGTAAAATAAACCCATCCATGCTGTGGCTACGACTATCGATCATGTATAGCTCGCTCTCTCGTCATCGCGCCTCGGTCCGACTTTATTTATCTTAAACAACTGGGGTCGGATAAAGTACGGTACGTTTACTACACGTTGAAGGTTCTTGTAAGCTGACATTCTTTTAGCCTCATGTCCGATCCATCGCACTTCCCAAGAGAATCCCGTCCAGCTTTCTCAATACACACTATCCAGCGAAAGGACACACAAACCCCCCTTATCGGAGTCTTCTGACAGTTTCTCTCCGTCTAAGCGGCGGCGGCACCGCGAAGAAAATGAACCGTCGGTAATTGATTCCTCACAAGCGACGCATGTTCCAGCGGCTCGGCGCTGAAAATGAATTCCTTGTACCAAGCTGGCTCTCAAAATGCCATTAGAAGGTGATGCTTTCCGAGAAGGTCGCCTCATTGATCAAGTCTAGGAATGTTGTTGTGCGGTGATGCTGGAGAGGAGGAATACTAGATTTGAGCCACGAAAACAATAGAAGAGTAAGAAATTTCTACCGCTGAAACTTCAGCGGATGAGGTGGTGCATCATCGGAGAAAACTCGAGAGCGCACAGGAGACAACGATAAGAGAAGGTGGGCAAACCAAACAGCAGACCCGTGCTCAATAAGTATTGATTTTAAATGTCTTCCGATGTCTATTTTTGAACCGAACAGATGATTTCCTTTTGGACACAGGCTCAATTCAATAGCTTATGATATCCATCATATGCTCAAGCTATACTCAATGTTCATTCCCAAGTTAACTCGAACAAACCTGACGGAATTCACGGGTCACAAGTGAATGAAAGAATAAATACAAATAAATACAGAGCTGGGAAGCAAGGTGTCAAGGAGGGGCAGTACACAACAGGGAGAGCGTCGGAAGATGACGCGGAGGGACATGTATCTGGACTCATGCTTGTAGCATAAAAATCACTACTCGCAGTTGCCCTCCATCGAGACCTTATTTATTAGCGCGCTTCACATTATTCACACGGTATGCCGTTGCATTATATTGGGGATCTTAAAGAAGATGATGGGAAAGTATTTAAGGTGGACCAATCCGCAAGCCACGGGATGGAATCTAATGGACGGAGGTCAAGTTGATGAGGACGTCAAAACGTTTGATTGATTGTTGATCATATGAATCCTCTCACACGGAAACCTTCCTACAAACCGTCAGTATACAAAGAGAAGAAGATAGATTGTTACCAAAACAAAAGTTCGTATCACAAGGAGTTCGCACTTGACACTGCTTTGACGATCATCTTTGATCATATCTGGGGGTCGATCGACGGTGCCGACATCAGCCGACGACGCCCCCAATGAGGCAATGTCCCGGTATTTCCCGAAATAGACTGTCGTCAGACTCGCGTTGTGTGTTCCTATTTATCGTGTACGCCTTTCTCTTCACTACGACGACGACGGCGACGATGATAACAACAATATCACTGCACTTTTGTTCGTACTTATTTATTAGATTATCCTCCCTATCCTGTCGCCAAGTTGTCCCTGCGCGATACAAATACAGCGCCAGGGGATGCCCATTCAGGATCCTTGCACAATTGTGCGCTTTGCACACCTGAAAGGCACGATAGCAGCCGTATGCTTCGGACTCTATACGTGCACATCTCGATCTTTCTCACAATAATCAACTTTCGTAGGACCCCTGGCAGGACCCTACTTTCCTATTTGAGATTCCTTCCTACGCGAACGACATTGTCGACACCGTATGTACATTGTTTAATTGTTTTCTTGCATTCGCTATAACGTCAGGTGTACAGGGAACCCCCCCAGGCCTTTTGTCTTGGGGACCGGGGGATCTGATCGGGAACTTAGCGCCCATTGTCTTATTGTTCGGTTGGCCGGAATGAATCATTGCGACCGAATTCAGCAATGGTACTAAAGTCGAAGCAATTTGCTTCCGTGAAACGCGATTTCTGCTTCCGTCCACTGGCTGGTCTGCGTAAAGGAGAGAATACTTAACCCACTAGTTTATGGATAGCGGTGCTGTCCCTAATACGATACAGACTAGTGTGTGTTCACTCTTTGCATTATCCTCACAGTATACTCATATGCGTTGGGACAAAAGCTCTACCGAAATCGACCAAGTACGATCGCAAGCCTGTTGCCTGCTCATCGTGCATCTCGAACCCAATAATGACAGTCAGGTATTCTGAACAGGTTTGTTATTGATTTGTGTCTTTAAACCTCTTCTAATCATTTATAGGTCCTTCCAGGATGCATACGCTTCTATGACGATGCCCTGAATCCCCAAATTGACTCGTTCGACTACGTATACGCCCAGTCTTCGAAGTCTAGGTCGTCTCAGCAATTACCCAACGGTCGTGTCCAACCCCAACGTCGTCTCAGTGCCGACGTGGACATGTGCGACTATCGTCCACCATTACTTCCGCGAAGACCAACGTATGACCTGGAGCACCCGCAAATCGAAGTACGCCGGCCAGTCGTCGTCCTACCTAACCCTCAGGCCCCCCTGCCCATTTCCCTACCGTCATCCTCGCATCAGTCATTACCACCTCCCTACCTTTTGGAAAGAAAGCCTCCACCGTCTACATTTCCCTTTAGCGGGCCTCGCCCACTTACTGCTGAGAATTTAGCTCAGTTCAATATGCAAGAACATCTCCAACCAATGCCGCTGCATCTTTCGGCTCCGCGCGCTCTTATTCGGCACGGTCAGCCTTCTACCAGACGTATACATTCTCTGCCATCCTTCCCACCGTCTGCCCAACAGCAACGACAGACACAATATATTCCCATCTCCCTCATGTCTAATCCTTGGATACGCTCTATCGTTACTACCATTCGTACCTCATGCGCTCAACTCCTCGTTCGTGAGCGTCAGGAGAAGGAAGAGATTCGGAAGGAATTACATGAGCTGAGGAGGAGCGCCAAGCGGCCGTTAAGGGAAGGACGAAGCCCGTATTTGCGTGAGAGCAGCAGCTCGCGGGCAAGTGACGAACTTCAGTATCCAGCTCCGACTCCGAAGCGAAGGCGATTGTCAGCTTCGTCTGAAGATGGTGTTAAGCCCGTCCTGCCGGTATTTGGATCGGTGCCGCACGGTCGTGATGCAGCTTCGGTGCCGCTAGTTGAGGATATGGTACAACCGCGGGTGAAGGAAGAGGAGGTCGAGGTGCCCATGGCCGAGATGAAGGTAACCAAAGCACTCAAGGAAGAGGAAGCTTCGGTTCCGCCTGCTCCTTCGTACCTTCCTGTTCCTGAGTCATTGCCGGTGATTGTACCTTGGGACGTCGATGATAGGATGGGCGAGTCCGATATGGACTTGGAGAGCGATGGGGAGCCAGATTTGGAGGAGGGGGAGATATATGAAGATCGTTCTCTTGTATCCCCGTCGCCGTCAACGAGCACAGATTCATCAGGGGTTACATTGGTCAATGCAGTGGAGAACAAGTGGTTGAACGTGGTTACGACAAGATAACTATTTTATGATACGATGATTATTCTTACCTTATTCCATACATGTCCTGTCGACTTCTTATTGATCTTCCTTTTCATGTAAAATATCTGTTGTAACTCGCGGGTAGGCCATGCTTAGAAACATTCTTGATGACCAAGCGCAACTTTGCGTTCCAGTTCTAAGTTTTCGATATTTTGGCTAAGCAAGTTCTGGCATGTAAATTGCATGATAAAATGGGGGATATTATATGTAAACATAATCGCCTGCGCATATCGGATATGGTGTAACGGCTAACATTGCCGCCTCTCATATATCGAGATGCAGGTCGCGGCAGCTCGGGGTTCGATTCCCCGTATCCGAAATGTCACATTTTGCGACGTTAACTTGAAACTTCTTAGCTGCCCAGTAGGGCTGCGCACGAAACCTCCAGGGGGAGTTTGATACCGTTTTGTACCCACCCTGCCTGGGGGGTTTCTTACCGGTCACATGTCTATTCACGTGACCTCTGCAGGCCGATTTTTCGAAATTCAAGCGTGATGCTGCGCTGTCGCATCGTCGTAGCTCAAATCCTAATGAATTTTGTACTGATACCAATCAGAATTATCTGGCTACATCTTCAAACCCATCCAACTCTGTCATCTCTTCTCCCCAATCCAAAATCAGCCAGGTCCTGTAATTTATTGATGTTCGTAAGGATTCTGTGGATGGACCTAGATCTTGAATTCATTTGCATCTTCGAAACATCGTCAACAGCACTCAGGATCAATGCACAAGTACAATTCCTCTAAGTGTTGCTCTATCTGCTGGTAGCTACAACATTTCATAATCTTCAGGTATAACATTGTTCTCTAAGGAATTGACAAGCTCGTTGTTGGAAAGAGGTGCCATGGTTTGACTCTTGCAAGTGTAAAGTGAAACGAAATTTGGCAATAATGTCGTCACGTGGGTGGTAAGTTACCTAAACGAAATACCCTCCACCGACCTGTGGTATCTTTCCGGTAAGAAACCAGTAACTTACCGGTCCGAAACCAGGGTGTATCAAAACTGGGGGTTTTGTGCGCAACCCTACTGCCCAGTGCAGCCTGCCAGTGCCAGTAATAGGAGTAATTCTTTGTACCCACTGAGAACCTGTTGTGGTCGGGAGTCCGGACTTCGTAGTAGTCAGTATGTACCCTAGTGTGGATGCCAGCAGCAGCCTGTGTTCAACACTCTCAAGGGTGGTAGGTCTCTACTCTCCAGGTGGGGTGTTTTGATACAATATTTCACCAGTGAGTACTTTTTGCATGCAGAAGTTTATTTTACATTGTAAATGGTATATATGCCTGCTGTGACTAAATACGGTCAACCTTACTATTTACTGATATACGTAATCGCATATCAGCTAAGGTATCTTGACGAGTAATGAAGGGAAGTTTATGTTCCCATAAATAATTGTTGGACAATGTAGTATAGGATAAGTTTTTCCATCGTGCGTTGCGAAGGAAGGGAGTGGACAGACATCAGAACTCACGGGGGAGACTCAGAATAGTTACAAGCCTAATGCCACAATAAGTGTATCCCTCTAAAACGTTTGAGCAGGTTTTTTTTGGTATTACCACACTTTCACCACCGCAGGTCAGCGAGCCCAAGTCTCAAGAGCCTCAGTACGAGGAACGAACGCACGTTTCCCACGATCTGAATGATTCCGGCAAATGCCGTGCCGATCTTCCTCTGCAGTGTAAGCATTACATAATTTGATTGCCGTGTCCCGGCAATGTGTCAAATCAATTATGACTTGAGCTTGGCCGCGGCAAGCTTTTCGTGCCGGGCACCACGTTTCAACAGCTTGTGCTACTTTCCCTGCGTGATTATTGTGACGAAACACTTTATCTCACAGATATTTCTTTTTCTAGGTATACCAGGCGATCCAAGACTCTACATCGATCTATTCGTTGCCAGAATCCCATCCGATTTGGAAGCGCAAGAGTTGGATCCTGCGCGACCTAGTTAAGTTGATCTCAGACAAAGCGTCATCTACCAGATACTATACAAGCTCTACGATTTAAAGACCTTGGATTCCGGTACCGTAGCCTCCTTGAATGATCCCATGGTGCGTACTGTTTGTACTTACCTTTTCGCCATCTTCCATAGGTAACCCCAAGATATCGAGTCTCTCATCAATGTCAAGGATCAAGGTGTGTAACGATTAGCCGTTCAAAGCACTCGGTTTCGTGTATACTCTAGGTATATACGTACACCGTATTTGCATTAACTACTAACAGCGTTTTCCGATTTCATCGTTGCCATCTTGATGGATGAGGATGTATTATTATCTGCGCGAAGCAGAAAGCTTCCCCCCTTCTCTACGTACATAAGCTACTTCAGAACTTGAACCTTACTTACTCATCAACATTAGCGCTTCGTCCATGCTTCTCGGCTTCATACGACCCACTGGTTGTCATATCCGGTTTCGTTGGAGGTAAAGATTCCATGTGTTTGCGTTTGCCCGGAATCTTACGCACCTACAGAATGTGCGGAGTCGCATTATAGTGCATATCCTTCAATCACGACCCTGTCCTGATATGTGACACTCATATCAGTTTCTCGCCTGGCCAAACTACCTCACTTGTCCTACCGTCGATTTTGTCGGACCAAAATGTCAGGCTATTTCAACTCCCATTTCTTACTGATCCAATTCGGTGTTGCACTCCATGTCAACCGCTTCCTTGGACTGGCGCTTCAATGCTGTTATACGCTAATTTCATCTGGATTAAGCTCTCGAAAGGACCGTAGAAAACGCCCAGCCGTCAAGTCTTCTGTAAGGCCAATAATTATATTCAATCAGGATGATTATTCAACTGAAACGAAAATATCGGTATGTTTTATGAACCGTGTTTATCTTCTACATAGATGTTCACATTCTTTCTTCAGAATGCGAACATTCCGAGGCTGAGTCGTCCGGTTCGGTTCCTGAATGGTGCGAAAACTTTCCATTCATGAATCTCGTCGAACCCATGTAGGATCGAGAGGCGCTGATGGCATACCAAGCCACGGGAACAATGTATAGCGATGTTTTAGGGAAACTTGCGAGTTCCTTCGCCCAATTGTGACAGTTATCGTGGTCCCCGTTTCGCCTTCAATTGAAAGGGGGTGACTGCGTAGGAGCGTCCAGCAGGCGTTCATCCTTTGATGTACTCGAGAAGAACGGTCCGAGCCAACTCACAATTCGGCAGTACGAAATAGTGAATTTGGATGGTAAAACGAGCTCATTTTTATCAGCGTAAGCGATCAGTTCGCCTTTTACATTTAGTAATACAAGACTAATGAAGGAGTAACAGCAGATGTCTTTTCCGTTTCGAGCTCGTTGTACGCCTGTTCATCTATCTATACAGGCCAGTCGACCGAAAGACGAGCAGCCAATCAGTCGGTACGCCCAATTTGGATGAGGATGAGGAAGCAGCGAGGTCTAAGGTTCACATGTTCCAAAGAACTCTCTATCCCGGATATTTGCTCAAGGTAACGCAGACATTGGGCTTCTTGTCTCTTGCATTGTATACTAATTATGATAGCAGGACGGCTCGCACTTGGATGGCGAATAGCGGCAGCCGTAGATGCGTAGCCTTGCGATGTGATATGTGACGTGAAGCTTCGAAGGTGACACAATGGTAAACAACACCAAGAAAGTGCTTATGGCGCAGCCGGAAGAAATCTTCACGGCACCGCGAGGCTATCTGGGAATAAAGTAAGTCCGAGTCTATAACGATGGCCTGGCCTTGCGGTCGTATATTAAAGATCTGACATCTCTGTGTGATAAGGAATGCCCCATGGAAATTACCCTACGACGCAACCTGGACGGTGCAAATAAAGTAGCCGTCAAGTAGTGGAAGTATTCGGACCAGAATATGTGGTAGGAATGGGGACATGGACGATAAGAACGTCTGGTGGTAGGGACGTGGTTTCGCACCTTTGCGTTGACAACAGGTGAGGCGAGGCGAAACTCGAATGCAAGGCAATGGATCGCTGACTGGTTCGCGCTGAATCGGCACCGAAAGGACCCAACACGAGGATCGGTTCCGGTCCCCCCTCCTACTACCAGTTAGCACCATTCTTGTCTTCTATCTCCTGGCACCCACCACCTTGATTTCAATTGTGCTGAACGTGCGAACGCAGTCAACAAGCGAATCATCATTTGTGCGTTGATGCATGTTACCGGGCCGATCCGAAACGTTGGCCCGTGCCTGTGTCAACCTACATACCTTATTACCTACCTCGACGCGACTCCAGCATGACTTGTGCTCTGCGCCACCATATCTTCGCATCTGTTCTCATTTCCCCCTCGTGCTGTGATGCTTTCCCCGATTAGTGAGTGACCTCGCCTTGCCTCGACCATCTCCAGCTAGATGGCACAGTTCCTTTGCGTTTAACCCAGAGGTACCCAGACTAACGATTTAGATATACATCCAGTGACAGTCGATATGAATTCCACCTATATCTGACGAGACGCGCAGACTTATCGGACAACTCTGCGTTCGTATCGTCCGCGACGATAAGGACGAATGGCTCGACTTTCGGTGATTAAATCATAGTGGAAGTGCCTTCTATCGCCTTGAAAACACGGGTATTAATGTGAATGATCATCAGGAAGCAAAGAAGAGAATGTCTATTCTTGTATAAGATTTATATGCAACGACAACGTCATCTACCACCAAGCAAGAGCGACAGGTGACTTTTTTTACCTTTGTCTATCAGTGGGGATCTGAATCGGTGGAGGGTCGCAGTTCTTAGAGCTTGTTTTCGACGAATCATTCAATGGATACACGAGGTGATGCTTCGAATGATCGTTCAGTAGTCTCTTCACTCGCCTCGCACAATACCTTCCCATGCTTGGTTCGTCTATAAATGGCTTGTGTCACATTCCTGGATGTCTAATGCTGCAGGGCCCATCAACCGAATCAATTCTTTAAACTGCCGTAAACTTCATCATTCCATTCCGCTTACATGCGAATTGCGCGAACGGCAGAATCACATTAATATCTCTGTGGCCTCGTTCTTGCGGTATCTCTCTCTCGTCCACTACGAACGAGCGCAATATGCCCACAGAAATTCAAGACGATAATCCACAGGATCCCATTGATGACGACAAAGGGACTGAAATCGCTGATGAGCTCGACGATTCAGCGCGACACTCCCAAATTTCATTGGATGATCCTAATAGTTCCCATTCTTCGTCGCCGCCTGCTAGTACGTCTGACAAGGAGAAGAAAGCGCCCTTGCGTGATGAGGAGCCTACGGCCCGTCGAACTAGGAAAAGACACCCGGGCATTTTTGCTCTACCGTCGCACTCTACAAACACGGCTGCAGGAGTGTCGACCGGTAGGTGTA